ACTCTGGGCGGCTCACAATAATAAAAAAGAAGAAAAAACACAGGACTCTCCAGACATGGACTGGAGGTTGTTCAACAAGTGACAATTAAAACAAACCGGTTTAGAGCAATGTGGAAGAGACTGATGTGTTAACAGCAGCACTACTGAATTACAAGATATTCAGAACCAGCATTTCGAATCCAGTTTTGTTGACTACAACACCTATTACTCTCCAACCAGTATGGCTGTTGAGTAAATGAATATTGCCTAGGTATTACCAGTTTGGGCAATAGCTGTTAGCATGTCGGCAATTGCTTCAAGCACATTCCTCAAAATCTGTGTTCCCAAATGGGCATTTTTTTTTTAAGTGTTGGCCAGTAAATTGCTTATATTACATACCTTTAAGAAATAAATCTCATACCATTAAGAATATTCCTGCTGTATAGCTGCTAGATATTTTTCTTTTAATTTTTAGGTAGTGTTTTGCTAAGCCGCCCTTGGTAAATTTAAGTTCCGAAGGGCATCTCCTAAAGTTTGAAATCAATTAATCAGTCAATCATCTTTGAAGCCCTGTATTTTGGGTCTAGATCTTTCTGCAAAATAGAATTTTTCCCGGTGGGGGTGGGGAGAGAAGAAATAAAATTCAGGCTAGTAACAAAAGGAGGACAGTGACATCTGAATGTTTTGTGATTTTTTTTTAAATAATATATGATCCATTCATATTAAAAGCTAGAAGCAAAATTGAAGTACCTTGCATACCTGGGTCATGGAGTCAAAAATTCCAAACTCTCTTAAATCCGTCTTCTCCTACTGTAATCCAATTTATCCAGAGAACACATCATTCCCTCAGAGCATTTGGTTATTTGTTCCTTCTTATGCTTTCATATTACAGCTGGGTCCCCTATTTTGATGCTGTTTTATTATTATGGAGCAAATAAGGATAAGAGGACATATAGCTACCAGCTTCTAGCACCATATGAAGTTATCACTCCATCTTTTCCATCCTGCTTTGTTGTTTTGCTTTTATATTTAGCAAATGAAATCAGGTTCATTGTCATTGCTAATATCTTACGACGTAAAGCAACAGGACTAAAATACTGAGGAGTTGAGGACAGAAGAACAACATACCTCTCCACGTTGAAGCAGGAGAATAGACATGTTTAAAAGAAATTTGTAAAATTCAGAAAGATTCAAAAAGAGGCCTGTGAATGGAATTCATCAAGAGTATTTTCAAGATTGATAGATTTCTCCCACAGTGCATGAATTTTATGGAATTCACTACCACAAGACGTGAGGACGTCCAATGGTTTTGAAGGCTTTAAAGGAAGGCTAGATCTTTCCTTCATTAATGCAACTCCATACAGTAATTAGCACTGATAGCAAAAGAGCGTTCCCATGTTCAGAGTCAATAATTACTCTGGATGCTGGAGGGAAACAAGGTGGAAAGTAGTCAGCTTTACCCTCATGAGACCCAAAGATATTCTCAGAATGAACTAAATGGATCTTGGTCTATCCAGCCAAGCAATTCCTAACTTCTAATATATAAATCCGATGCCAGATTTGTCGGATATCAATTGCATTTCTTTTCTTGGTAAGAGGGAAAAATTACTGGTAGAATGTTCAGAGTTATAGGGTAGTGCCATTTCATATCTGTTCTTGGACATTTTTCAGGTATAGAACAGGGTTTCTTAAACTTTTTCCTCTCAGGACCCTTTCCCTCTTGTAAAAATTATGGAGGATCCCAAAAGAGTTTTTTTTTTTGGTATGGGCTATATTTATTGACATTTACTGTATTAAAAATTAAAAATGACACATTCACTGCTGCTACCGCTTCTCACAATTGTTGGATGGGATTTTAATATTGTATTATTTTTCAACATAGGCTGGCAAATAATTTTGATTTCACAGACCCCTGAGAGGGTCTTGGGGGACCCCCAGGGGTCCTAGAGCCCGACTTTAAGAAACACTGGCATACAGCACTCATACTTGCTTGAAACTACCAATGACCCAGAGGTTAAGGTAATAATGCTACTAATAATAGAAATACATCTACCAATACATGAAACCAAAAGGATCTAAGAGGAAGATATAAGAACTTGGTGTGATTTCAACATTTGACATGAATTTGCCTCTCCTCCAGAGAAATGGAATAAAGAACAAAATTATGGAGTTGGGAGCATCTTGGAAGTCACCGAGTCCAGTCCCCTACGTCAATACAGACTCTACAGTGGCTTCTCTGGCACAGAGAACTCTGCTCATAGTTTCTTACAAATTGAGCCTGGCTCCTAACCACTTCATGGACACATCCGTAGGCAATAACACTGAATGGCCTCCATTAAAGGAGAGCTCATTATCTCCAGAGTTAACCTGCTTCACTGCTTCACAACTCTTACAGTTAAGAAGGTTTTCCAAACGTTAGGTCAAATCTGCTTCCCTGCAACTTTCACCCATTAGTTCCCTGGCACAACAGAGGAAAATATCTGCTTCATCTTTTATATGGCAACCCTTTGGGGTAAGTGTCCGTTAAATGACAGGCTGTTACCTGGTTGCTACTGGGAAGACAAGTCATGCAATGTGAATAAACTATGCCGCCAGAGGATCTAGCTTTGCTTGGCATAAGAACATCACTCTGAATTACCTTCCAAAGAATAAATCTCTCAAGCATCTTTGGACCATTTTGCAGCTTCCAAACTATTTGTAATATCGTAAACAAGCTTGCCCAAACAAAAATGTCAAGACAATGATAGAAGTCTGGTGAGCAGGTGGTCAGCATTTGTAGACACATTGTTGAATGTGTACATTAATGCACGCAAGCTTTTCAAAGTAGAGTTGGGAACAATGAGCCAAAGAACAAACAGAAGAGAATTTTTTCCAGAACTGTGAGATAACAATTACACTAAGTAGAGATGATCTGAGAAGTGTCACTAACTGTATCTTTATAACTTTCCCCCCTTGCACGGCATTTATCCTCCTTCCTAAAACTTTTTGATTACACTGATCGCATTTTAATACCTGCAAAATCCATCTCTCTTGATCACAGCAGGAATGCTAAATTGGGAAACAGGTATTGGGCCTGTTCCCAAAACAGGAAACAGGGCCTCATGATTTAAAAAATTGTAAGAATCAAATTGGATGTTAAGATAGAACTTCTCATCTGTTCCCAGATCTTCCATTCGGACAGTAACCAGTACGGCATAGTGGTTAAGGTGTTAGACTAAAACCAGGAAAATCCAGGTTCAAGTTCATCCTTAACAGAGGTTTCCAATATACTTCATAGGGTTGTTGTGGGGGGGAAACATGGAGAAGGGAATGCCATGTGTTGGGCTCTTGGAGAAAAAGTGGAATATAAATGTAGCAAGCAAACAAATTGGAATTTACACATGATGGATGTGCAACTCACAAACCAAAATGAATACCCACTAAAGTTAATTTGATTTGTGATGCCTTCAACAACCCAATGTGCGAATGAGCCATAAAGATGGATTCCCTTCACCTGACTTCCTGGAGTAAGTAAAAGTCCACCAAGGAAACAATCCTAGATAAAATTTAGAACAGTTACCCAGTTGTCAAAGGCGTCTGTGCCCTCAAACTCAGTAGACTGGACCATCTGAAGGCCTCTAGTCCATGCTCCCCTTATTTCGCTTCAGAAGCTGTGGATCAAAGCAATAATTTGTCCAGTCCTGTCTGCCTCTAAGTTGGGGACTTTTACAACAGAGACTCAGGAACATTTAGTAAGACGTTATATTACAGTAAATAATTAATATGGTACATGTGCAATACATAACTACATATCTATCTAGGATGCAGCAGCAGGAGTATTTCCTAATATATCCAACTATTTCATGGGTCATGTCCTTTTTCTTCTTTTCCTGTTTACAAAATATGGCTCACATCTGTATTATGAGTCTCTTGATCATTAACATACCCATTTTGTAATTAAACATTTTTTTAAAAAAGAAAGGCTTAAGCTATTGTTTGCTCAGAGTTTTCCCCAGGAATAGGCTAACCATAAGAGCTTATCCAAAAAGATCCAGGATCCCAATACTTTGTGTCTCTTCCTACAATGCAGACCCACTCACTCTACCACTCTTTTACTGTCCTCAAAGTTACTCAGTGGAACTGACATTTAAGGGCTTACCTGGAGAATGGCACACAATCTGCAGTCTTAACCAGCTTGATTTTAGATGAATTAATATGGCTTGAACATCATATCCCACTTTTGGACATGCTCCTTTCATCAATGGTGAGCAGAAGTCTAATTTTCCAAGCCCTCCGTTTCTGTCTCTTCCTTTTCAAGGGGAAAACTGGCAGATGTCCCACTTTTCTGTGCATTTGCTCGCTCATACACGCACACCCTCTCTGCTGCAGACTCTCTCTAGTACTGGCTTCCTCAGTGCTGTAGCACTACATCTCTGCTTCCTCAATGCCAGAAAAAGGGTATTGAGCAGCTCCAAGCATATCCCAGTTAAAGGGCCAGAACATCTGCATAACTCTGATAACAGTGAGAAGAGGACAGCTAATTCTCAGCAAGTACTAGTTTGCCTTTATCCAGATGATGAAGTATACCTGTCAGAATTAGTTCAGAAACAGGAAGAAAGTCTTAGAAGGGCATCTGGGCTAGAGACAAACCTCCCCCCACCTCCAAAATATACATTTTAGACCCAAAGACCAATTTTCCTTCAAAGAAAGGCAAACCTTGTGCCTGGAATAGTTCGTGCTCTTATGTTAAAAAGATGCAAAGCTGATTTACATACAACCATCCAGTATAGTTTTCTGCTAACTCAAGGAATAGCAGATAGCAATACATCTTGGTACTGGAGAAAGGCCCATCGTGTTAAAAGGAGAAATCGAAACCATCTCAGGCACTGCAAACCACAAATTCTTCTTTATCCAAAGAGGAAATGAAGATATGAATCTTATTTTCAGCTTTACAGACCACCTAGTCCTCCGACTCCTTATGATGCTGAACACTTTGATTATTCCCCAGCAGACAACTCAGTTTAAGCAAGGGAGCAATCACAGCAATTGGCAACTTAGAATTGCAGTTTGAAGTCAGAGCCTTGCAATAACAATAAAAATGGTTTCACATTCTTACAGGGTAAGCCACACACATCTATTGGTTCAATTTACTTTACTCAGGGTGATGAGTGTTTATATAGCTTTCTAATGATCTGCTTCCTAGTAGAACCACATCAACTTTTTCTCCCTTTGGGCTTCCTCTCCTTGAATGGTGGGTGAACGAAACACGAATGCTTCTGCCCCGTTTAGGTAAGAGTGGGCCTTCCTAACTAGACCTATTTGTGCTGTAAAACATCTGTAGAATCGCAAGACAGCAGCAGAAAATTTACAGAAAATTTGAATGCCTAGCGGCCACCTGGGGATTGCCCAGATTTTTGCAGCCCAAATATGGTGGACCCTCTTAAACAATTATGCACACAGCGTTGAAACTTCAACCCCTCCTATTCCTTATCTTGGTCACTCCAGGCAGTTTTCTACATCCTGGCTCCAGTCCTGGGACCAAGCCAAGAGCGAAGTGCCAGCATCAATAAAATACAGGAGGCAAAGCATGAGAATAGCGCACTTTTTGTAGAGGAAAACAAGCCACTGCTACTCTCATGTGCAGGTTGGACTTTGGCTGCCAGTAATCCAGCATGGAAAAATCAAATGAGGCTCCTGCAAAGTCATATGATACAAGAACCAGCGCAGGGTGGTGGTGAAGGGATTGGACTAGGAGTGGGGAGATACATGTTCTTGCCCATCTTCAGCCAGGGAAACTCCCTAGGTGACTTTGGCCAGTCCTTCTCTCTCAGCCCAACCTACCTCATCAAGTTGTTGTGGGGAAAAATATGAGGTGGTACAATGTATGCTATCTTGAGCTCTTTTACAAAGGGTGGGATATAAATCTACAAGATATCAGGCTGCCTTAATGCAAATTCTTTGACACCCTAGATCTGAACCTTCACATGGAAACAGCTTTTCTTTTTTCCATATTCACTCCCTTACTGCAGGCCCCTTGTTATATATGCTGTGGTCACATGACATACTTACCCATGATTAAATGAATCACGGTTACTAAATTAATCCAATTTTTGGCATTCCCAGAATAGAACTGAAGCACAGATTAACTCCCCAGATTGTGTTAGTACATTGCACTAGGCTAAAATGGGGTTGGCCAGGATGTGATCTTGTGTATTGTACAAACACAGGTAAAGTCACCAGTTGCGTGATGCGGGAAATAGGTAAGAGCTTCTAAGGCCAGAATCCAATGTTGCTTTACAGCATTGTAAACCCTACTTTGGGTTAAACATCTCAGCGGGACTTGCTTCCAAGAGATATGCGTAGGCTCGGAAGGGACTTCCTTTCTTCCCGCTAGTCATGCAATTTCAGATGAAGTATCAAAGTCCAAAAATTGTTTTAAAAAGTCAAATGGTTTTAAAGATGCTCGTTTTTGCCTTCTGCAGAATTATGAGATTTCCCAATCTGGGTACAGGAATGTTTATTCTTCAATTGTGTTATGCTGTGTCTTTAACAAAAATAGCCCACAGTGTTCCTTTTACTTTCAGTTTTCCCACAAGCATCTGCAAAAGGAAATCGGAATAAGTTGCTTGCAGACAAATCAGCCAGTTCATTTATCAATAGTCTTATCTCTAGCCTTTGTTCCTCTCAACATGCCCAAAATTCCTTCTTCTTATCTTGCCCACTTGTCTGTTTCCTTACGCCAAGATACTTCCTGTTTGCCTTTCCCAAATCATTGGTTGCCCCCTTACCCTTCTTGTTTCTTCATTTTAGTTAACAAATACCGGTTTGCCGAAGAAATGTTTGCTATGATTTGGAAAGGATTTCTGCTGCGCAGCCTTGAAGATAATTATTCAGAGAATTATTTCCAATGGAGGTGAACAGGGTTTATTCCTCATTAATTTTTTCAGGACAGCAGCCTTAGTTTCTCCAAAGGCTGCAATTCAGCCCTTGCTCATAACTTCCCTAAGGTCTGCCTGGCACGTTCATTGGCACTGGGTAAATTCTGACTTAGAAGAGTCTTATCTGCACCATCACGGTTGCCCTGTTGCCAGAACAGGCAGGCGACTTCCAGAAATGGATGATGTCACCCTCTATTGATCTACCACTGTACCAGCTGTCAGCTCAAAGCAATCTGAGGGAGCATTTTTTTGCTCCACTTCTGAAGTGCATCGTTCCATGTTATGTCCCCTCAACTGCTCCTTCTTGAGAGGGGGTGCCTCAATTTGTTGCAAAGTAACCCCAGCAGTTCACTGACTACATTGTGGAGAAAGGAACACACCTTCAACTGGGTCAATTCTTAGCATGTACTCAATAGCTTCTATGCCAACACCTTAGGCCAAGATCTGTCAGGTTAAGCCCAAGAAACTCCACGAGACAGTTCTGGAACAGCCCAGTTACTTTATTAGCTCGCACCTGCTAGACAGA